GATAGATTAAAAAAGGCGTATGGAGGCGGAAGATGGACTCCAGAAGAGGACATATTTCACATGTTTAGAGAAAGAAGACAGCCTAAACAAGCTTATGGGCAATATGCTGGAGAACTTTTGTCACAATATAAAAAGATAATGGCAAAGATGCGTGAAACGGCAAGCGCGGCAGAAGTAGAAACAAAGATGTCATTCTTGTCATCAATCTTAAAAGTTCAGTTGGCCAGAGAGACGGGAAAGAAGGATGGCCTACCCAGAGACCGCTCGTTCGTTGAATGCGCCCAAGAAATGATCGACGCAAGCGCGCGCGAAGAGGAAGCCCGGATGGAGATAGAGGAGTCAGGATGGAATCGGGTGACCTACAGAAAACCAAGAATCACACCAACAACTTGGAGGAAGAGGAGGGATTTAGAATATGATGAAAAGGAGAGAGGAATGGCTGAAGGGAGGAGGCAAAGTCAGAGGAAATCTAGACCCTTGGGAAGAAGAGAGGACCGTAAGTGCCACGGATGTGGCAAACCTGGACACCTAGTGGCGCAATGCCCCCGCACTAAATGTTTTGAGTGTGGCACAGAAGGACACATCGCTAGACACTGTCCCTACATGCACAGGAGAAAAAATCTACCCAAAGAAGAGCCATTGGAAGTTAACGCCCAGAAGGTATGGAAAAGAAATAGGACGCAGTCAGAATCGTCAAGATCGACAGAAACGACCGAGACCGATGAAGAAGCTGAGGAGCCAGGGAGCAGTGGAGGCGAAGTAGAGAGAAGCAGGCGAAGGAGCGGACGTTGGCAGGTAACAGGTGGAAGGAGGGAGCAAGTAGAGGCCTGAGGAGGGTGGTGGCCGAGGGGCGACCGCGTGCTATTGAACTGCAGCTTGAGGAGCGAGTATGGCGGTCTGCCCATTATCCGAGTTGCAGGTGGAGTGAGATGTCTCGTGGACACGGGGATTTCAACTACTATCATGAGCCGGAGAGCTGCGGAGAGGCTGTGCGCAGGCAAAAGGACACTCCAAACTCAGGTATGTTCATGCAAATTAATCACCCTGGGGGGCCCGTGTACGGTAGAGGGGGAAACGGTTTTGAGATTGAAGAAGTGGGGCGCGAGGGAGGATAGTTTAAAGGTTCATGTAGTGGGGAGTATGCCTCGGGAATATGATGGGATAATAGGATGTGATCTATTAGGAATGGTAGGAGCGAAAGTTAGTAACAAAGGTGGACGGTGGACTCTCAGGTAAAAAGAAATACGAGTGTGAAAAACGCGTAAGAAATGACGGAGCAAGGGTAGGAGCGATCACTCAGGCAGTAGACTGGAGGAAAATATTGAAGAAGGAATATGAGGATATCTTCTTCGAGGAGGGCGGTGTATTAGGTGTAACGGGGGAAACTGTTCATGAAATTCCGCTTGAAACAAAATCGAGTTACATACGTAGAAAAGAGGCGGTACCCGCATGCGTTAAGACAACATATCCGAGAAGAAATAATAAACTTAAAGAAACAGGGTATCATAATAGACAGCACGTCACCATATAACAGTCCCTTATGGGCAGTGAAAAAAAAGGATGTGCCGGGCGAAAACCAGGAAAAGTATAGAGTTGTCATAGATTACAGGAAACTAAATGAAAACACTGTAGATGAAAAATACCCGATCCCAAGATTCGAGGACATCCTGGATAGACTGAGCGGAGCGACATTCTTTAGTACGTTGGACCTGAAAGCAGGTTATCATCAGATCAAAATGCACCCCAATGATCAGCATAAGACGGCATTTACGTTTGAAAGAGGACATTACGAATTTACAAGAATGCCTTTCGGCTTAAAAAACGCGCCGCGCCGATAATGTTTGAGCATCTTATGGATGAGTTTTTGAGGGGAATCGACGAAGCTGTGTGCCAAGTCAATATGGATGATTTACTAGTATTCAGTAAAACGGAAGAGCAGCATGTGGAACATTTACGAAGTGTCTTTGAAAGGCTTAGGAAATTTGGTCTAAAATTGTCATAGGAAAAGTCACTTTTGGGTCAGGGGCAAATTAATTTTTTAGGTCATACAATTTCGAAAGAGGGTGTGAAACCTGATAGAAGCAAGGTAGAGGCAATAGAGAGAATGGCAATTCCGAGAGACATAAAAGTAATACGGAGATTGTTAGGGTCATAGAACTACTAGAGGCGATTTGTTCCTGAAATGGCAAAATATCTAGTATCTCTTAATAACCTACTCAAAAAAGAGAAAAAAGTGGTAATTACACCCAAGATGGAAAACAATATTAGGCAATGCATGACGAGACTGCAAGATGAGCCAGTGTTAGCATTTCCAGACTTCTCGAGAAAATTTACCATCACAACAGACGCAAGTGAGTATGCATTGGGGGCGGTATTGTCACAGGAAGGGGTCAAATGAGAAAGACCAGTTGCTTACGCCAGCAGGCGCCTCACGGATACCGAAACGAGATATAGAATGTTAGAAAGGGAGCTGCTCGGGATCGTGTGGGCCATTAAACATTTCAGGCCGTACGTGTTTGGCAGGAAATTTAGAGTCCAGACGGACCATAGACTCCTCCAATGGGTGGGGAAGCTAAAGGAATCTTCCGCAAGGGTAACGAGATGGAAAGAGTTTCTAAGTCAATACAATTTGGAAATTGTATACAAACCAGGGAAGGAAAATATTGTGGCCAAGGGGAAAGAAGAAGAGAGAGGGGAACCATCTGGGGATGTCAGGCAGTTGATGCGGGAATGTACACCTGAAGGAGAAGGGAGTATGCAAGAAGGCGACAAGGAGACCCAGGAAGAGGAAACTTCTATGGACGAAAGACCCTTAGAAATAGAAGAGCTAGCAGAAATTATTAATGACAAGCAGCATCAAATTATATGGAAGACCAGGACTACGGGGACAACAAAGATTGAGTACGATGAGTATGGAAAGTGCAAGATCACTAAAATCTGGTCGCAACCAGGAATTAAAGAGGACTTAATTTGTCGCGCACTCAAGGATGTGACACCACCCATCACATATAAGTCGGGAATGCGACAGTCTGGGATAAGATTAAGCGGTTATGGCGGTCAGAGAAAATCGGTACGGACAGAAGATTTATTTGATGCACCCTGAAGGTTGAAACACTAAAGGATAAAGAGACCCAACAGGAGGTGACGATCGCATATCACCAGGGTAAGACGAATCATCGAGGAATACAAGAGACATTGCAGGCACTAAAACGGAAGTATTTTTGGTGGGGGATGAGACAAACAATCAAAGGTGTCATTGGGGCTTGTGAAATATGCTTAACCACCAAATACGACAGGCACCCTCCCAGAGCAATACAGGAAGAGACGCCCACAGCAAATTCACCATTAACGGACCTACAAATAGACACTTTCACTTGGAGGGGATATAAATGGGTCACGCTGATGGATCTTTTTAGTAAGGCAGCAATGGCGTACCTGATCCAGGAGCGGTCGTCAGAAGCGGTCTTGAGTGCTATAAGAACATGGTTCCAGTTTTATGGCGTACCTGACCGGATTGCATCAGATGGGGGAAAGAAATTTAACAATGCCATTATGCGAGCAGAGGCGAAGATCTTGGATATTACATGGCACATTAACACCCCTGGACATCCAAAGAGCAGAGGAGGCATAGAACGACTACGTAGCACGCTTAGTGACCACCTTAGAATATATCACGCAGAAAAAGGGCTAGAACCCGGTGTGGCGATGTCGAAGGCTATCACGGCATATAATCATTCAATTCATACCGCAACAGGTTTTTCGCCTTTTGAGATCCTATTTGGGTTGCGGGAACAGCGCAGGGATAGCACGAGTACGACAGTGGACGAGGAATTATCGGAACGTGTCGTTAATAATAGAATAGCGTTGGTGAAATGATGGGAGAAAGTCCGTAGTAAAATTGAGAACGAAAAAAGTAGGAGGGTAAGAAAAGATAACTTAGGGCTGAAGGACGTACTGGGCGATATTAAAATTGGAACGATAGTGTACAGGAGGAGAGGGTCCAATAGGGGCAAGGAGCTAGTGAGGTACAAGAGCCCATTCAGGGTGATTGCCATTCGTGAACATAACATTGTGTCTATAGAGAGCTTGAAAGAGCCTAAGAAGCGCAGAACAGTCCACATCGAACAACTGAAGCTCCCAAAAGGTGCGCCAAAGCAACCATAAATGGATGGAATGTCCTCATTGTGGGACAGGAAGATTTTTTTTTTGTAGTTATATTATTGCACTATTGCAGATTTTTTTATTGTTTTTATTACTTAACCATTCTTTTGCATCAAGTGAATTAAGTAACCACAGTGCAAAGTTCTCATTGTATACCAATGTAAAATTTTATTGATGAAATAGTATAGCCTGATGACGCTTCACTACGGACTTGACCTACCTGTAAGATTCAGATATTAGTTTACGAAGAATATTCATAAACTGGCAGGGGGGAGTTAAGTTCCGGTGTGAGATAGATAAGACTTTTAAGACTTAATATTATTTGTTTCAATTAAAAATAAACACATTATTATTTCTTGCAATTTAAAATAAACACATGTTAAAATATGTTAAGAAAAACATGTTAAAATATATACTGTTATAACCTTTTTTTAGTTAGATACTAGTGTTTTGTTAAATAAAAATTATTGAATTATTTCCAGTTATTTGTTTCTTCATTTTTCTATTTATCGAAGCCCATAGTTAACTTATATAAATATATATATGTTTTTTTTTTTTTTTTTTTTGGTTTATTTCTTAGTGGTTACATATTACTTTTTAAATAATGTATATAATGTAAGAATTTCTATAAGTTAGTTTTTGGCCAGTTCTGTATTTTATTTTGTATTAATTCATCTTTGTTATTCTAAGGGGACTTAGTCCAAGATAAAGTTCAATTTTCTATTCTATTCTATTCTATTCTATATGTAGCTTATGTTTCAATCAACAAGATTCAAAATAATAAACATCTTACTGTAGCAATCACTATTTTATTTCGATTTTTCTAATTAAGAACTCACCAATAATATCAATAGGCTGACCAGTATGATGTGAATACAGCCTATTGATTTGACGTTTAAGGTTGCTAATCTCTTCAGCTTGAATCATTATGTCAGTGGCTTGGCCCTAAAATAAAAATTAAGAAGTATGTATTTTTAAGGCTGGACAAACAGAGAATTAAATATTAATATATTTATAATGAATACATTTTAAATCCTACAAAGAAGTCAAGTTTTAAATAAAACCCAATGAATTTAATATCTTACAAGTAAAAATGGATGTAAAATAAAAACATTGTTTGTAAAATGATATATGGCAAACACATGACAGTATTTTTTTTAACTGAAAAAAAATTTTTTAGACTTTTAAAACAAACATTGGTTTATTAATTAGAACAAATGACTATTTCATGGCCAAAAAATCCAAAATTGTGATTAAAGCAAGAAACTAAAATAATTAAAGGGATTCCTCAGTTTTTTATTTTCTAATGTTAAAATAATGGATGCTAGAGCATCTTCTTGCCTCACTTTGATATAGGTCTCAAATTCTTCAGAGATATCAATTCCAACATACTTTGCATTCTGCATGATCATCTTCACTAGGCGAACCAATTTCATGTGGATTTCAACCTAGGCGAGTATTTGTTCTAAATAAAACATCTCAACCTCTGGTAATAATATCTTATACAGATATTATTACCAGTTTGTGTGCTTCAGATACTATTAAGGAATAATTCTGTTTGAAATATGATCAATTGTTCAGTGGCACCTTTAGAACACATTGATGCCCAAAGGGCCTGGTTCAAACAGAAACAAACCACTCAAACAAGATATAGGATAAGATTATTTAGGCTAAGCACAGAAGAGTCAAGCATCATTAGTTTTTTTGAGAAAGAGATAAAACTAAAGTTTTCTTTAAGTCGTCTGGAATCTCCTAATCCAGAAAGTGACAGTACTTGGCCATATAAACAGCCAATTTCTCATTATTTACCAACTACACTCCACATCAAAAACTTCAATTTATTTTAGTTTATTTAAAGCTAATTCAAACATCTTCACAAGGGACTTCAAATTCTCAGCCTTACTACCACAAGTCACATTAGCATTGAGGCTATCTTTTCATACCCTCATCTATCAGTGTATGAATTGTCACTTTGACTGCTTTGAAAGCATTACCTCTCTGTCACTTTCTTCCTTCGTTCACCCCATGGACTTCTTTCTAAAAATCTGAATGTGTAAAACTGATGATGTAATATAAAATGTCATCCATAAATTTCTTTATATTAGTCACCTGTGATAGACAACCCAAAAATTAGTTCATTGAAGGAATTGTAAGCAAAGATCACAAATTTGATTACATAATAAAAAATATTGAAGGAAGTTAGTCAATTGTTCTACATATCATGGGTGATAAATATTCAGGACGCAGTCATTATAAAGTTTTTATGGGTGCTGACGTTTCAACCCAAACAAGTGGGTCATCATCAGGGCGTGTTTCGAGCACTGAAGGTATTCAAGTACTCACAGGTATTCGAGTACTTAAATACATTCAGTGCTTGAAACATACCCTGATGCTGACTCACATATTTGGGTTGAAACGTCAACACCAATAAAACTTTATGTCTGCGTCCTGAATATTTATCACCTATAATAATAAAAATATAAAAAATTAATACATTTACTACTGATTTTACAAGAAAACATTTACAATGTATATTCTTCCTTTATGAAGCGCTCTTATTTTTTTTACTATCAATAGTTTTATAATGGCACTATCTTTCACGTAGTTCATGAGCTCGCTATGAGACTGAGCCACCACCAGATGCACATCATGTGAAAAACAATTATATTTTCATATTTTTTGTACATATATGTAAACATTTATTTTTTTATTTGTATCTATAATGTATATCATTTTAATACAATTAAGTTGAAGTTATATGAAATCAACTAATCAAAAAATACAAACACTCTATTTGAGTACGACTCTTGTTACTCTTTTTTCCATGAAGGCATGATTCTCCCAGCTATAGATAGCTGGAATCAGAAACAGCTTCAGGTTCAGGTACAGATTGATCAGTATATTTAATATATCGATCTGACTTTTATTTCACTATATGGTCCTTTAAACCTATCTCTTTTTCTCTGTCCATACAAGGTCTGGATGCTCACCCGTCCACTTGTACTCCCACATACGAAGTCTGGAGGCTCATCCCTCCATTAGTATTTCTTCCTCCCGCAAAGTCTGGAGGCGCACAATAAATCATTAAGGGTCGCGTTGCCTTATGCCAATAAATTATTTTTAAAAATGTCTTAAAGGCTCATCCCCTAGCACAAAGACAAAGAATGATTTGGGTGCTCAACCGCCTGACACTTAAGGTCATCCTATCTTAGCTATTTCCTCATCCAGTAAGCCACTTTTCCTTAATTGAAAATGTAATGTTGAGGCCTTCCGATTTCTCTATTTACTTACCTGGGCAGTTTCTATTGAATTATTACTATAGCCCAGTAACCATCACAAGTTATATTGAATGGGTGATAAAAGATTTTTTTTTTATTTTCTTATATGGGATATGACTGAAATGTAAAATACAAGTTTTCAGCCTCGGCGTCCCCTTCCCTCCATGGATCACTTTTTAAAATCCCAAAAAACTACTATATTTTCGCACTTTTTCTCATTTTGACCATGAAGGAGTATGTTTTCGACATAAAGCATTCTAAACATTTTTAAACTACATTAAACATGCTAAAATTGAAGACCAAAACAGGTTCGGTAAGTAAAATAAGTTTTGAGATACAGATTTTCAAATTTTGGAAATTTTATTTTCCATTTAAATTATTTTTCGTATTTGATCATATGCTATTGTCTTTTATCTTCATTAACCTGTCTGATATGAGTCAGCGAAGTAAATATTGATTCATTTTAATATTTTGAAGGAGGGGTGATGGAGTGGCGAGAAAGATTTGGTAGGAGAGAATAGTACGTGGGCCAGACCTCCCTCCCATGCACCATCTCCCCACATCACTATAGATTGCATATTTTTGTGTTCCATGTAACTATATACTAAAAAAAACCCAGTATTTTCACAAAAAAAAGTAGTCGCACTGTCCCAAAATGGTGTCCAAACATAGCAGATTGACGCCTTTGACTTGAGCTAGTTTTTCAGTCACTGAGATTCAGCAGTTGGCTTAATTTCATCATAATTGGTCTTTTATTAAAGCTGGATAATTAGCGAATAATAAAACATAAAACAATAATTGGCCTTGGCAATAAGAAATACCGAAAAACGCTTTGAAATAAAACATCTAGAGAATACATTATCTTTCTAAATCACTGAATAATTTTCCAAATATTTGAAATGATTCTTTAGAAAATGCACTTAATCAGCGGAAAAGTGACAAAGGCATAGGCACCTACAGTCCTATGCCACCTCATTCGGTTCTCATAAATGGCATAGTTATAGTGCTACTCTCTACTCTCTTCATCCCTTTATTACATATTTCTTCCACCAAATAATGTTTTCATCAGTTCTATTTTGTTTATAAATAATGTTATATTTTCAAAGATTTTGGGTCTTCCTTATTTACTCCTTCAAAATAATAAATTAAATAAATGTTTACTTTACTAACACTAATAAGACAAATTATTGAAGACAATAAGATGAGAATTAGCTAAACATCTTCAAGTTTCGAAAATTTCATTCACTTCATTTACAATGTTTGTAATGAAAACAGCAGTTTTTGGGATTTTAAAAGTGATTCGGGGAGAGAGGGAGGGAGCGCCGAGGTCGAAAACTTGGATTTTGCATCTCAATCACATCCCATGCAAGAAAAAAAAATTTAAAAAAAGAAATCTTCTACCCCCTTAGATGCAACTTAGACTCTCTTTTTCATGACAAGGTTACTGGGGGCTACTAGATATAACTTGAAACATTTATGAAACAATCAATCAATGAATTTTTTTATTTATTTTAATTGAGTTTTAATACACCATATTGAAGGGCATTAATATTAGGGCTACATTCATCATTTACACAATATGTACACACAAATAATAGCTAAGATAGAATGAAACAATAAAAATAGAAAACACAACTTACCCTAACTCCTCCTGATGGTTGATGAATCATTATACGAGCATTTGGTAAGGAATGCCTCATGTTATGAGAGCCAGCCGCCAAAAGAAGACTTGCCATACTGCATGCCTGACCTACACACCAAGTAGCGATGGGAGGTGCTATATACTGCATAGTATCATATATTCCTAGGCCAGCCGTAACACTTCCCCCAGGGCTAATTGAAACAAAAGTTGTGTCAGTTTGAAACATTTTGAAATCACGAATTACTAAATTCATTTCAAGAGGTTCATTGCATGCCATTGAGTGTAAACTATATTACAATACAGCAGTAGTATATCATATTGTTTATGGATTCAAAGGCGGCTATTCTTGCAGTGTCATGGCCCAATGACTCCTTTGCTCAAGATATTTTGAAGTGGCAAAAGATCATAGAGAAACTACTTCTTCAAGGAACAGAGGTATTCCTTCAATCAAGTCACTGTGGTCTCCATGACAATGAAATGGCTGATAAACTCGCCAAGGGAGGCTCCATATTGAACCAACCAGAAAATCGAATATCATATCATAGAGCCATAAAATAAATAAATAAGGCAAATTAGGCTCTGCAACTGGAATCCGTAAAGAGCAGTATTGTGGAAAAGCAATGGAGAAAATTGCTTAATGAAGCAGATCGAGTTTCCATGAACCAGCGGTGAAAGGAAGAAGTGGCTAAGTTCTCGAAGATAACAGTCCACAACTACCTTAGGAAACATTTGCATAGAATAGGAGTGGCAAACTCTTCACATTGCAACCTACATAATTCAGGAGCACATATGGACGCAGTACATTTAGGTGTATGCGAGCACTTATTGAACATAAGATATACCACGTCGTCCAAATCGGAATGGTGCTGGGCTACAAGGTCTCTGATGGTGGAAGCCGATAAAGAGAGGTATAATTAAAAAAAAATACAGCCGTGGTTCCCAACAGCTAGTCAATCACTTATCCCCGTAAATTAATTATTAGAGATCCATAAACACACACACATATATATATATATATATATATATATATATATATATATATATATATATATATATATATATTAAAATCATGCCTTTGATGATCATATTACTACCACTAGTGTAGGTAAAATTTGATTCCAATGAAAAAAAAAACAAAAGAATAATATTGGAGAAAACAAATATCAATGTTTTAAAAAACAAAAAATTATTTTATTTTACAAAGCAAATCAGCACATTGATTATAAACATTAACTTATATTTTGTCTGGTATACAATTTATTTAAATAAGTGATGGATTCTTCTTCATGGGTGGCGCTAAAACTCATCGCAGAACCTTGGCCTCCTCAATTAGTCTTACTCATTGGTCTCTCTCTCTCTTGCAGCTGTCCTCCAGTTAGCTAGTCCAAGAAGAGTTCTACCATCCACGTCGACCTCATCCATCCAGCGCAATCTAGGTCTTCCAGCTCTTCTTTTTCTTCCTGGACGCGTCAGCATAATTTTGCTGATTGGGCTAGGCTACTCTGATCCATCCTGGCTACATGGCCCGCCCAATTTAAATGCTGTATTCTAATAAAGAGAAGGGGAGTAGTAACAACCTCGTTAAAAAACCTGGGTTCAGCTGGCCCGGCTGATAGTATCCAGTAAGGGCCCCTTTCTAGGGTTACAGGACTGGTCCTCCAGATTGGGGTTGGGGGTTGAGTGGCGGGGTTAGTTGCTCCTCTCTCATAAAACTTCTTGTGGCTGTGAAACATCAAGAAAATTGGCTCGGATTTGGACAGTCTAAATGGTATCAACCTGGCGTTCTCAAGGAATTCAAGTTGGCGACATGGAATGTTCGTACCTTGTATAGAGCTGGAGCATTAAAATTGCTCCTGGATGAACTTTATAAATATAAGACGGACATCACTGCTGTGCAAGAAATAATGCAAGGCTCTGGAATTATGGAGAAGAAAGATCATACCATCTATTATAGTTGCCACCAGAATAAACATGTCTTTGGGGTAGGTTTTGTGGTTAGCGGTAATATGAGGGAGCATATCATGGATTTCAAGGCAGTTAATCATCGGTTATGCATGCTGAGAATTAGGGGCAGGTTTAGAAATTATTCTTTGGTTTCGGTTCACACACCGACTGAGGTTGCAGACGAGCAGGCTAAAGGCGATTTCTATAATGACTTCAAATGGGTGCTTGCAGAATGCCCACACCATGATGTAAAGATAGTTCTGGGTGACCTTAATGCACAAGTTGGAAGAGAGCCCGCTCTTTTGCCAATAGTAGGAAGACATAGTCTACATCAAGAACAAGAAAAAATTTAGGAAATCGAAGAACAGAGGACTCAACCGGACGTAAGAGCCTTCTACAAGAATGTGAATGCCCAGCGTAAAGAATTCAAGCCAAGATCCAATGCTTGCCGAGGAGAGGATGGTCACTTATTACAAGCAAAGAAACCATTCTTGGCAGATGGGTCACCCACTTTGGAAGTATTTTGGGAACCCCTGAGGATCCCACGGTGAATAGTGTAATTCCTGTTCTGTGCAATGGCTTCGAGTTAACCGACCCACCAGATGACGAGGAATTATATGACTTCTTTCAAAAACTAAAGAACAACAGAGCTCCAGGATCTGATAACATAGCCGCAGAACTTCTGAAGGCTGGAGGGAACGAACTAATCAAAGTTATCTGCGACCTTCTCCATAGTATTTGGATAACTAAGACCATGCCTGAGGAATGGTACACCGGCGTCATCATCCCTCTCCATAAAAAGGAAAATGAAACCAACTGCAATAATTACCATGGTATAACTCTCCTCAATTGCACATATAAGGTGTTATATAGTGTCATCTATCAGAGGCTACTAGAGGTGGGAATCTATCAATGTGTGGTTTCATGAGAGAGAGATCTACCAACGATCAGTTCTTTCCCTTAAGGACCCTGCTTGAAAGAACAAGGGAATATAATATTACCACACATTACCTTTTCATAGATTTTAGCAGTGCATATGACAGTGTCATCAGAGAGAGGTTGTATCAGGCTATGAAAACAATGAATATCCCACTTGAATTGATCCATCTTACAGAGCTGCTGATGATAGGATCAAGGTGTCAAGTCAGAATACAGGGAGACCTGTAAGAGGCATTCACAACTACAAGGGGCCTAAGATAAGGAGATGGCTTACCATGCCTACTCTTTTATCTTGCAGTAGAAAAGGTGATAAGGGACTCCGAAGTGCAAAGAAGTGGGACGATTCTCGCCAAATCAGTACATATTCTAGCCTACGCAGATGACATAGATATTATAGCTAGATCACAGAGGAACTTAGAAAGGACCTTCTTAGCTATAGAGGCAGCAGGACAGGTAATGGGTCTAAGTATTAACCAAGCAAAGACCAAATATATGATAGCCAACTCACCAAGCCCACCACCACCCACAGTTATATTTGGAGGATACACATTTGAAAAGGTAAATAATTCTGTGTATCTAGGATCCTAAGTTTGTGCAGATAATGTGCCTAGTCAAGAAGTACAGAGAAGAATTACATCAGTGAATAGGTGCTATTTTGGCTTAGCTAAAATTTTAAGAAGTCATCTGCTGGCTAGATCCACTAAGATCGCTCTGTACCAGTCTCTTATTAGACCTGTACTGACATTAGGATCAGAGACATGGCCATTATCACGAACAGATGCCATCAGGTTGCAGATTTTAGAGAGAAAAATCCTGAGAAGAATGTTTGGCCCTGTAAAAGTTGAAAATCAGTATAGGCTAAGGTATAATGCAGAGTTGTACCAAATATAACGGGAACCGAATGTGGTGCAATTTATACGGCTCTCTAGGCTAAGATGGGCTGGGCACGTTGCAAGGATGGATGGGGACTCACTAATCAAGTGGCTACTGCTCGGGTATGTGGATGGCAGAAGGAGAGGACGACTATGACTGAGATAGGCAGATGAGGTTGAAGCCGACATAGAGAAGCTTCTGGACACTAGAGCTCGGCAGACCCTTGCACAAGACAAAGAAGAATGGAGGCGACACATTGATGCGGCAAAGACCCGTACCGGGTTGTAGTGTCTGTGATGATTCTAATGAACCAACTACATCCATATCATTATGTATGGTGGGTGGGCAGTTCTGCATTACTCCGCCTTCTCCAATCATTATCTACGCGTACTGGTCCATAAATGTGACCTATTGCTTTTCTTGTTGTTAGCTTTTAATTGGAAAAATCTAATCACACAGCCTTGTGTCTCTAAAATGCAGGTAAAAAACAAACTAACCTTTCAAAGTTTCGCTGATTCAGGCGAATGTGGTTTAGAGATGTGTTCCTGTTTTTTCTTAACTTAATAATAAGGACAGAAAAAAACAAGACCACATCTCTCCACAACATCAAAACATATACTAAAAGATAGGTGCTCTATGGCCTGTGTTATCTATATGTGGTAACTATTTAAATAAGAGATGAAATGCAATGCTTTACTATATGAATGTGAAAGAAAATGAATTTTAGCCTACTGTAATGGAAACAGAACCACTTGGAACAAGACATTTGAGAATACCCTCTAAACCAACCTTACTCATAAAAAAAATTCTAAAATAATGCTATGACTATAGTATGTAATTTTATTAACTTGTGAGAAAAGAGAAGCAAATAAATATATTTCATTTCTTAGAATAGTTGTTACTATAATTCTAATGTATTATTTCATTTCTGCTTACTCATTGAAATAGTCTGTTTTTAATCATTTCATATCACTTTATATAAATCTCCTTAAACGGTGAATAATTGAACCTAATGTAACATAAGCATTTTGTTTAATTGAAGACATGGCCACTTGGCATGAGAAGTGACACAACTAGAGTTTTATGAAAAATATAAATCAACATTACCTATTGATATACATGTGTACAGGCTTCTTGGAACTTTCAGACTGCAAAAATAGAAGTTGAGCCACTACGAGAGAAGACATCTCATCAGTGATCTGACGAAAGTTAAAAGAAAAATTAGCTTAATAAGTATTTCCTGTTCATAAAAGGGATTTACAAGAGTATTAAAAATAACAAAGCATATATTCGAAATGACTATATAAATCAACACATCGAACAGTGTTGAGATATTATGCTAATCAAGAATTTTCCCATTTTGAAAAAATTGTATTAAAACATTCTTTAAATTAAGTAGTACAGGTACCACATACTGTAATGTATAGATAATATTAATATCATTCATGTATTTAAAATAATAAAAAGGTTTATGTTCAATAAGGTGAAATAAAAATCTTATGTTTACACTTAACCCTTCAACGGCAGTGGGCTCATATATATATATATATATATATATATATATATATATATATATATATATATATATATATATATATATAATATATATATATATATATATATATATATATATACATATATATACGTGTGTGTGTGTATATACACGAGTCGAGAGGGAATCGGGCCTAGGCGACTTTAGACTCATATAAGTTGGGAGAATGTCAGGCTTTTTATTAATGAATGAAGGACTTAGAGGAGTTTGGTACATTAAGTGAATAAAGAAAAATTCTTACATAGCAAGCCAAGAAGTGATTTTAATTTATTTAATTAACTGATTCAAGTTGATATCATATTCTATGAAATATAAGCCACAATAAAAGGGACCATTAAATTATATACATTTAGCTTATCATAACAATTTGAAAAAACATACACTTGTTAATCATTTGCTATATTGAGTAAGGGAAAATACGAGTACAGCTATAGAGGTGTCAGGTCTATTATACCATACCATGATAATTCCGATTACACTGTTCGTGGAATGGTGAAACTAAGCTAGGTATATACTAAAACATAAGGAAATTACTAATCTCCAAACCATTCTATAAATCAATAACTGTGTGAATCAAATTATTCATAAAGCTTCAACTATATTAGATGCCAAATAAGTAATCACAATTCAATATTTCTGATCGTAAAAAAAAAAATGACTGTACTACTTTCGATCGTTGACTAATATTTTGGTTGTACCACACAATGGATATCGAAATAAACAAAATTACTATGTTTCCGACAGATGATAATTAAAACTTCTTGTACTTTTGAGTATTATTAAGAACAATAAATTGAAGCTAAGTGTTCTGTCCATAAATTAATAGTTATTAAATTGAGAAAAATAATGAAAAAATTCATTGAAATCATTTTAGAAGTAATAAAAATACCTAAAACCCAACTTAATAATGAACCAATGATCAAGATTACACGAAATTCCATGCAGTTATACTGACTTATATGAAATAGAGAAGTACAAAAATGTATTTAACTTTTTGTAATTGTTACTAAAATCATAAGATATTATTTGATCTCTACCCTATCGTTAACATAATCAATAATCATTTCACAAACATATTATAGAAGATTAATAAGTGCATCTACTGCCATAAAGAATTCAAATTATAGTTTACTATTTAATGTCACACTGTACTATAACACTAAAAGATTCATTATAGATGATTTAAATATTTTTAATGTATTTACATTTTTATTGTTTTTTCTTAATTTGGTAATTTCAATAATTAACTTCTAATATTAATATGTATTTACCTCTACAAGCTAATTTATTTACTCAAATTAGATTGTTTGTATTAAGAATGAAATCTAACCTAACCAGTCAAAAAACAGAACTACTAAGCAAGCCTCGGGTTTTGAGGTACAGTATGAACAAATAATCTTGGAACATCAATCAACCTGGCGCGACACTTCAATAGCTTTACCAAAATAAGACATGTTTAATGAGCGACATATTTGAATATAGTAGCCTAAATATATTATTGCTTAAAGATAAACATCAAATATAATAGTGTGTATTAATAACATTGCTCTGTTAATTAGGACAAAAATAAATAAGTAAATATTCCAATGAACTACTTACTGTTCCCATGACACAAATAATCCTCTCCTTTAGCAATCTGGAGTATATATCATATGATCTTTCTCCTCTCCCAGTATTTTCCACCACAATTGGGACAAGAGGAAGACACTTCATCGAACTAGTATGTAACTGCTTGTTGGCTGCCATCTAATAAGAAATTCAATCAAGTAAACCACGTTAAAATATAATTAATTAATAACGGCAATGGTAAAACAAAATACATACTGAAATAAATGATATACGATTGCATTTAAATGCAATGTTTCTGAAGCAAATCATGCTGAATGATGTGAAAAAAATAAAAATTAATAGAACTGCATATAAACACAGTTGAATTTGAATCCGTTTTGAACAATAACGAGAGGTTACATTATCTTGAAGTTATAGCCTGAAAAGAAGTAGATTACACTTCATAAATATGACGTCACATAGAACTATAATTCTCATACTTCTCTTTTTTAACAATTGTAGTTCTATATTAATTTCCTAATGTTATCGTCTGAATTAATTAGCTCAAATTCGTTTGTACAGAAAATAAGGTACTATAATTTTCTATAATGCGGTTAAATCAAAATTATTTCGTGATCGGCGATTTTCACTTATCACCATTGGCGGATTCACGAAATCACCCACTCACCTCCTTTCTGGCTGAAACTTCCCAAAATAGAATTTCTTTTTTCCAGTGGTCAATATTTGTTTGCATACATGATCTTTGGGGGCGGCTATCGGCTTCAGCCTTTGGTTCGAGTCGTCCCTCATCGACTGCAGAGGTGCAGGCATCCTCCTGTACATCGGCAGTTGATGTAAAGCCGTAGCGATCGTAAGATTGCGGAGACTGAGACCAATCGTGCTCTGAGGTCAGGGAAGAAGTGCTTCCCGATCAAATTGGTACTACGGGGCGTCGCTGGAGCCCTGGCGGCGCTTTGGGTGGACGGCGATAGAGATGGGCAAAATTGTACTCTGAGTAAAAAGTACAATTACAGATCAATTTACTCAAATACTCGCCCGGTTCGAGTATCGAGTACTTCAATCACTACTCGACCTCATGATTGACGAGTACAAAAAGTAATCAGCTGGCCTCGTGAGTACTTTCTATTTTCAAATCTACTAAGCAATATTTTACTCTGAGTACTTTTCAAAGTAATCGAGTATTTCATTATAAAAATTACAGGAGTAGAATATTTAATATAACTTCCATATTTAAGCTCATTGTTATTTTATAGTTTTTTTTAAATAGTACCGATATTAATGTAAATCGATAATATAAAGAATTATTAAAATATTTTGGATTTAATCAACTTTGGGGACCATTTTTTTTTTCCACACCACTTGACTTTTATGATAATGCTGTCGGATTTGAGATAGTGCCCCTGGGGCCCGACTTTTTGTAACTTTTCCAATGGCGGTCAACCAATTTAGTTAAGTATGAAAAAGTTTCTAAATTCAGCGCTAATTGCCGTCTCTCTCCCGTGCTAGCGAAAGAGTCCTCCTCCGTACTACATCAGGAAAGGGAAACCGTAGGGTTTTTCTCTATGCCACTGATCATTCCTGGCTTCTGGAACCAAAAGGTATAAAAATGAACTACGGGTTAGGTGGTGGCCGAGGCCGCTTGCGGTTCACCGATCACTGAAGTAGAGTAGACATATCCAAATGTGCCGCAGAAGAGAACTTAGCCGGTTCCGGATTACCGTGGGTGTGGTCGGCATTTGTGGGACGCGGGAAGGCAGGTATCGTGGGCATTCGAGTGACACCTACCTCTCTCCGTCTTAGGAGAAGCCTCCGTGATGAGGAGAGTCGGTTAAGATCTTGCGGCTAGGTACGACTCCCTTCGATTCCGACCTCCTTATCAACCGTGCACACTGTAACCTCATCTAGTTTCTATTAATCCTCGATTTATAGGTTCGGAGTTACTCTTTCTTCAGTACAAGCAGCCTTAACCAAACTAAAACCAGCAATTTCACGATATTCCTTGATTCCTCTATTCCAAGTCTAATCGTAATCCTATCTTATTCGGCAGAATGATAAAAAAAACACATTTCGAATTTCTAAAAATAAAATAAACTATTAATTTTCGTCAGATTAACAAGATTGTTTTAGCCTATAAACGTTTTGAAACTCGAGTGATTGAGTACTTACCCTGCCCCTGGATCACCAACCATAAAATTAGCATGCCCAGGAAAACAATTTGAAATTTGACTATAGATAGACGGGGCAGTAGATAGAAAACAAGAGCCAGAGGCATAAATTTTTGTTTGTAATATTTGATTCATTATTGAAATCCAACTTCGTTCTTTATAATGAATGCAACAAAACGATTATGTAAAGCCATTACATAATTGTAATATAATATATGTAATGTTACAAGCATCTTATTATTATAATATATAGTGTTTTGTTAGTTATAAAAAATATTGGGAATATTTTTTAACAAATAGAACCATTTAAGTTTAAAGCTTCTCAGTTTTGCTCCAAAGAGGTATTATTAAACGTATTATACCAAAATTCAAACAATTACCTTAGAAACTAACGACTGCACAATTTTATCTTGAACTTTTCAACTAAAAATAAAATCCCTTAAATTATAAATTTCAAATATATAATGTATGTATTCGGTGTTACCGTTAAACGGCAGTCTGCGGAATGTAAATAAAAATAAACTAAAAAAAACATAAATTAAAGCTGTTTAATGACTAAAAATAAAATTTTATAAATTAAAAATAAGTCCTGTGGCTTAGGGATGTGGCGGTCCCATCGACCAGCTGTAAAGCTGCAACCAGACATCGGTCCTCCAGGTTGGGCGAACACTCACACTAATATGCACACGGTACTCAATAACAGAATACTGCAACACCCTTCATTACAGACAAAGCTCAATCTCAGGACACAGGGTCACCTCCCTGGGTAGCCGCCTGGATGGGGGAGTGCGTCAGGGCGCTCATAGGAGGCAGCCCCTTCACCTGACTTGGAGCAGTGTGCCGATAACCCATTGCCCCAAAATGTAACTATCACGAAGCCTCTACAAAGCACAAAAGCCGGACTCATTTTTAGGAACAGACCCAGGAATTGCCATAATGACCTAAGATTATCTTATTGGAATATTTTATCCCTACATAGAACAGGAACCCTTCGGGCTCCCGGAGGAACCTCGGGGGCGGTTGCAGAACTTGACATATGCCGCATGGATATTGCAACAATCCAGGAGGTACGCTGGCTCGGATGTGGCTCCCTAGAAATGAGATTCCACACAGTATATTATAGTTGTCATGAAAGCAAACACGCCTTTGGCACAGGATTTGTAGTTAGAGGAAGGGCTCGCCAGCTTGGACTTAAGTTCAAGCCGATCTTCCCCCGACTGTGCTATATGCCTATCAAAGGAAGATTCTTCAATCTCCAATTATAAACTGCCACGAATCAACTCAAGCATTGGCAAGCACATTCAAGAACTGCTCCGAAGATCATTCTTGGTGATCTTAATGCCCGAATTGGTCAGGAAACCATTCATTGTCCAACAGCGGGAGCCTTCAGTTTACATGAGAGCACAAATGAGAATGGTCAAAGGTTCATAGACTTTGCTGCATCATAGGATCTAATCATTGGCAGCACATTGTTTCCTGGCAAGAACATCCACAAAGCCACTTGGAGATTGCCAAATGGGGCCGTCACAAACCAAATAACCCACATTTTGATTAGCTCACGCCACAGATCTAACATTATTGGAATTAGAGTCTACAGGAGCAAAAACGTCGACTCGGATCATTTCTTGAGCATCGCCAGGATCCGCCCACGAATATCAACGGAAATATATGTAGCAGCTGGTCCGGCCCAACAGAAATATGACGTATCCAAACTAAAAGACATGGAACAGTTCATAACATACCGGCATCGATTGGAAGTTGAGCTTGAAAGAAAGAAAAGAAAGAAAAATAACTTTATTCTGGGACACAGTCCCTTGAGAATAACAAAATAGAACAAAATTAAAATATTACATCTGGCCAAAATAAAATCAATCGAAAAAAAGAAATAATGTAAAAAAAATATAAGGTAAAAATTCTATATACAAAACAAACTAAACTATATACAAAACCATTAATACTATGACAAGACACTTAAAGCTATTTGCTCTTATAGACCAGTATACACTTTTCCGAAAAAAATAAAGAATTAAAAAATAAAAATGTATCAAATTCTCTATTAAAATCCGCTCGAATGGTTAGCAAGTATCTGACTGTTTTTGTGATAGGAATTGGAATAGGAGGGATTTGAATGTGGATATGGAGGGGGAATGTCGAATTTTGATAGGGAGGGAATTCCAGAAATTGACAGAGCGAACAATAAAGGAATTTTGGAATGAGGCAGATCTGTAGAAGGCATGTAAAGGTCAGAAGGTCGAGATCTTGTGGACAGGGAATGGACTGAGGATTTGAACTGGAGAAGGTTGTAGGCGTAAGAAGGACGATGGTTGTTGATGATTTGGTAGAGGAACGTACCTAGAAAATATTGTCTTCGGAAGGAGGGGAAGAGCCACCTTAACTCAGTGTAGTGGTGAGAGACATGGGAGTACCTCGGGGCACCAATAACAAATCTTACGCAGCTATTCATTAATCTTTTCAGTCTATCACGGAGCTCCACCGAGAGGCCATCATACACCACACAGCTGTAGTCAAAGTGGGGGAAGATGAGAGAGGAAATTAGGAGTCTACGGATATTTTGAGGTAGGAGATGGCGGAAGCGACGAAATAGTTTAAGGGTAGAAATTGTCCGACGGGAAATGTGAGAAATATGGTAGGTCCAGGAGAGGGTTTGATCTATGAAAAATCCTAAATTTTTAACAGAGGAGTAGACGGAAATTGGCTGGTCATTAAGGTGTAATATGGGAAAGTCAGTATGGGATCTAATAAGGGGCTTGGAACCAATGACAATGGCCTGAGTTTTGGCAGCATTTAACTTTAATCCATTTACATTTGCCCAGGCATTGATTCGATCAAGGTCTTCTTGAATCTCGGCAAATGCCCCCAGTAACTCAGAGGGAGAAAAGGATAGGTAGATCTGGGAATCATCTGCATAAAGGTGATGGGAACAATGGAGAATTGATTTAGGTAGGTCGTTAATGTAGGAGCTGAAAAGGAGAGGAGATATGCTTGAACCCTGGGAAACTCCAGAGGATAAAGAAAGGAAAGCAGATAGTGGTTGGTTGGGTTTGGAGACTGCTTGGGTGCGTTGGGAGAGGAAAGATTGGAACCAAGAGATGGAACTATTGGAGAAAGATAATGATTTTAGTTTGTTGAAGAGGATGGAATGGTTGATGGAATCGAAAGCTTTGGAGAAGTCTAGAAGAATAAGGACAGTTAATTTT